TACTTCGTACATTCAATTTTCTGATTATTAATGGATGTTTGCAGCTGTTTCTTCTCATTTTGAGTCATGCCACATCAGCAAATGAAGGTCCCGAAAGCTTTACTCCATCCACATCATTACTGTTGACTCTAATTTGAGGAGGCAGCTCTTCTCCAGTTGTATTTAGTTGCCTTCCAACCCGAGTGGCTTGTCTTCCAGCACTATATCAGACAGTGTTCCGCTGCTGTTCATAAGGTTTTCACTAGCTAGTTTTTTTTCAGAAGTATGCAGGTTGTTCTTCCTAGTCTGTCTTACTCTGGAAGCTCTGCTGAAACCTGTTCACCATGGGTGACCCTGTTGATATTTGAAATACCGGTGGCCTAGCTTCCAGCATCACAGCAATGCTCAAGTCACCACAGTATGACAAACTGACAGATGTATGGTGGCTGAAAAAAAAAAGAAAAAACTAGAGTGTGGCAAAGCAAAGAAGTTGAGTATGAAAAATATATATGCTTTAAGGAAACTTTAGTAGTAACGTCTTCCAAAGTTATTGAGATAAGTGAATACTCCTCTTAACATTAGCAAAGAACTATAATCGTCTGCACTAATTGAATTAGTACTGATGACAAGGGTAATTAGAGAGAAAGGCAATCTAAGATCTCTGGTTTGCTAATCATCTTTGTGTGTGTGTGGTAAATATATACGTAACAAAACATTTGCTGCAATATTTTTACTTTTTGTTATTGATAATGCACACAGCAGAACATGTTGATTCACCAGTTTCTACATGTACAATTCAGTGACACTGATTACATTCTTAGAGTTGTGTGACCATTCTCACTCTCCTTTTCCGAATTGTTCTTCCCCAGTCTACATAAACTCACTCATTTGCTATAATCTTTATATGTACAGTTCATTGACGTTAAGTATGTTCATCATGTTGTTCAACTATGACCATGAACCATTCCCGAATTTTTCCATCACCCTCAACAGAAGCTCAGTGTCCCTTAAGAGTTGTCTTCTTTTCCCGCTTTTTCCCTCCCACCCCTGGTAATCACTAATAAACTTTGATCTCTATATGCTTACCATTCTAGATATTTCAAGTAAGTGGGATAAAACAATACATGTTCTTTTGTGACTGACTTAGTGTGCTCAGCATAATGTTTTCAAGATCTAATCATCTTAACATAGTAGAATTCTTTATACGGTGATACCTAGGGGAGCCGGAACTCGACGAGACTGCCTTTTTTCTAGGTCTCACAAGTCTTCTGCCTTTGGTAGGGTGCAACCTATCACTTTTCTGTCACTTGTTTTAGTGGAAAATATCTGAGTTTTCCTTCGCTGATAGGTTTCCGCCTTACACAGGTTCTGACTTCTGTAGGTTTTGACGTATATCGTTTGGTATGGTGGCAATAGACTAACGTATAAGAACAGGCTTTTACTAGTCAGTAATTGCTTTGTGCAAGGCATGTGATTTATCATGTAATATGTCTATATCAACATACTAATGAGTGGTATTATAGTGGGGTTCTATTGCTTTTTGTCTGTTGCTTTTTATTGATATCTATATTTGCCTCTTTCAGCATATCAGAATGATATAAAAGCACTATTAAAAGTGTGCCTATTTTCATTTTTTCTATAGGAGCAGCCACCATACTCTAGCTACAATTCTAACTATTGGAATTCTCCTGCCCGAACTAGAGCTCCTTATCCAAGTACATATCCCGTAAGACCGGAATTGCAAGGCCAGGTATGGTCTGAAATTGACAGAGGCTTTCTGAAGTTTTTCTCTTTTTTTGTTTGAAGTGGTTACGTTACCTTTTTTTAAAATTGTGCTTTAAGTGAAAGTTTACAGAGCAAATTACCTTCTCATTCAAAAATTTATACACAGATTGTTTCATGGCACTGGTTCCAATCCCACATTGTGTCAGCACTCTCCCCGTTTCCCTTTCCACCCTGGGTTCGCAGCGTCCGTTTGTCCAGTTTTCGTGTCCCCTTCAACCTTCTCATCTTTGTTCCTTGATCTCGTATACTTGATTGGTCTAAGAGGCACATTCTTTCTTGTGTTATTGTACGTTCTATAGGCCTGCCTAATCTTTGGCTGAAAGGTGAACTTCGGGAATGGCTTCAAGTCTGAGTTAGAAGGGTGTTGGGGGCCATAGTCTCGGGGGTTCAGCCAATCTCTGTCAGACCAGTAACTTTGGTCTTTTTTGTGAATTTGATCATTTCTTCTACATTCTTCTTGTGCTCTGTCTGGGACCCGCTATTGTAATCACAGTCAGTGGTCAGTAGTAGTAGCCAGGCACCATCTAGTTCTTCTGGTCTCAGGGTCGTGTAGGTTCGTGTGGTCCATTAGTCCTTTGGACTAGTTGCTCCCTGAAGTTCTTCTTAATGAAGATATTTATTTTCAGAACCTGTGAAGATATTATAGAAGCGATGTGTGGGTTGTTTTTGTTTTAATAGACTTAATTAATCAACCATACCTTAATGCTTTTAGCTGAGAGATAAGGAAATATCTAGGGAAATGTTATCTATAGTAAAGGTAGTGGGAGGCATAGTGGATTATATCTCAGGACCTGGGAACAACAGACATAAAATGTACTTATTTTTTTAAATTGTAAAATCTCTTTTTATTACAGATATTAAATTTAAATATTTCAGGCATATAAAAAGAGTGAGAAAATATGTACAGCTTTTTATGTACTACTTAGCTTTGTGAATTTTTATGTTTGCCACATTTGTTTCAGATTTTTTTAAAGAAATAAATACACTTGAAGCCCCACATAACACTTTCTTCCTTATCCTGAAGTTACATTTATTATTCCCATATGTCTTTATGCTTTTACTACATATATATTCATTCATAAACTTTATATATTATTTAATATATTTTTAAACTTGATATGAATGCTTTCATACTAATATTTTCCTGCAGCTTCCTTCTTTTGTTCAACATTGTTTTTCATTTTTCTGTTGTATATGAGACAAGAATGTCCCTAGGATATAAAATTGCTGGGCTTTGGTGTAGATGTCTGTCTTAATATTTTTTAGTGCTGCAATAACAGAAATTGGAGCACTGGTGACACAGTGGTTAAGAGCTTGGCTGCTAACCAAAAGGTCAGCAGTTTGAATCCACCAGCCGCTCCTTGGAAACCCTATGGGCAGTTCTTCCCTGTTCTGTAGGGTTGCTATGAGTTGGAATCGACTCAGTGGCAATGGGTTATAACAGAAATACAAGCAGGTGGCTTTAACAAACAAATTTATTTTCGCACAGTTCAGGAGGCTAGAAGTCCTAATTGATGGCCCCAGTGCTAGGGGAAGGCTCTCTCTGTCACTCTAGAGGAAAATCCTTGGCTGAGCTTTACTGGCATTCTTTTAGGTGTTTCTTGGAGATCTGCACATGGCATCTTTCATTCCCTCATTCATGCTTATTTTTTTCTGTGCTTACTCTGCTCTTTTATGTCACAAAAGTGGTTGATTTAAGACATACACTATACTGATATGACCTCATTAACATGACAGAGAAAATCCTATTCCCAAATGGGATTACATCCACAGGCATAAACCCAGAAAACAAAACCTGTTGCCTGCTAGTGAATTCCAACTCATAGCGACCCTATAGGACACAGTAGAGCTGCCCCATAGGGTTTCCAAGGAGTGCCTAGTGGATTTGAACTGCAGAGTTAGGATTTACAACACATATTTTGGGGGGACACAATTCAAGCCATAACAACAACTGTATTAGATATAGCCAAATTAGTTTTTTTGTTTATTTTGTTTTTTAATTTAATTTTTTTGTTATTATAGCCAAATGACTTTTGAGAATGGTTTTACCAATGGGGAAATTTTTTTTAAAGTCACCTATAATCCTGCCTTTCTAAGAAAGCAGTAATTGTCAGGTTTGCATATTTTCTACCATTTTTTTTCTATGTAGATAGCATATTTTTATATGCAAATTATTTTTTAAAAAATATACTTGCACTATGTACATTTTTTTAGCAGCTGTATTCAAGCAGCATTCAGGTGAGTCTGCAGAATTTTATATCCAGGCCAGAGTTCTCTGTAAACTGATGTTCTCTGCAGAGTTAAATTTTAAGACTACCATGAACTATACTAATGTGATTCTCCTGGTGGATTACAAATTGTCAGATACTATGTTCAGTTCAGTTCTGATTTACTAGTGATACGGAGGCTGAAATAATGGAAATAAAGTTCTTTATGGGCTTGAATAATTCATTTTTAAAAAAGCATTATATTCCCTTTTTTCCTTCATTAATTTGTTGATATAATTTTTTTAGATTGCTTTTAAGCTAGAAGAATTTTTATTAAAGTTAAAGCAAAATTTGCTTGTTTACTTAAGGAAAATATACATGTAACTGGTTTTTCATAATGATCATGTATACAGGAACTTTAGGATGAGGTTGATCAGAGAGCATAGAATGTAAAAATAAGGAAAAGATTGTTACTGCTTATCATTAACTTCCATTTTACTGGTGTCATCCCCATTTCTGTGACTGAAATTGAGAAGCAGGCATTGTTGTTGCTAAATGCTATATGCTTGTGGTTTGGCCCTCTAATTTCACTTTGGTGCTGGGAAGCTCTCACACCTCTACTTTGTACGGGTGCGTGGGAAGGGAAGGAGCACAAAATTTGTAGGGGAAAAAAAATCTGTTTTTATATAACCTAAGATTTTTTAACCCCCTGAAATGTATTAAAGTTTGGTACACCCATACAGTGGAATATTGTGTAGCTGTTAAAAAAGAGTGAGGTTGAATTAATTTATATTATTGATATAGAATGATGTCTAAGATAAACTGAGGGGGAAGGGAGGCCTGAATAGCATATATAGCATGTTTTCATTTGTGTTTAAAATTATACACATGTATAAAGACATGCTTATGCTTGCAAAGAATATTTCTTTTTTTCTTTTAATTTTTGGTGAAGATATACACAGCAAAACATAGTACACCAATTCAACACTTTCTGTATGTCAATTCAGTGACATTGATTACATTCGTCAAGTTGTGCCATCTTTCTCGATATCCTTTTCCAAATTACTTCACTATCATTAACACAAACTCACTGCTCCCTAAGCTTCTCATGTAACGTTTCAAGTTGCAGTTGTCAATTTGATCACATACATTATTTTAAAAGCACACAATGCTCGAGAAAGACATTCTTTTATAATTAAGCTAAACTATTGTTTGGTTTAAAGATGACTACAAGGGATAGTTTCACTTTAAGGTTTAAGGTTTAGAGATTTCCTCAGGGCAATAGTTTTGGGGTTTCATCCAGCCTCTGGCTCCAGAAAGTCAGGATTCTGTGAGAAATTTGAGATTCTGTTCCACATTCCCCCCCCTTTTGACCAGGATTCTTATATAGAATCTTTGATCAAAACATTCAGTAATGGTAGCCAGGCACCATCCAGTTCTCATTTCATGGCAAAGGAGGCAATTGTTCAGGGAAGCAATTAGATGCATATTCCAGTTCTTCCTCCAATTCCTGACACTCCCTCCAATTCCTGACACTCCTTCCTCTGCTGCTCCAGGTGAATAGAGACCAGTTGTACCCTAGAGGCTTACTCACAACGTTTTAAGACCCCAGACACTACATAGTGAACTAGGAGGTGGAACAGAAGCACTAAAATCGATATTAGGCCAATTGGTTGGAATGTCCCACAAAAGCATGACCCTAAACCTCTGAACCAATAAAACCAATCCCATGAAGTGTTTGGTTGTAAGTATAGGAACAATAATGTAGAAGATCAGATGAGGTGGAATGACATCAAAGACATCATACATAAAGAAAGCAAGAGGTTATTAAAAAGACGGGAAGGAAAGAAGAGACCAAAATGGATGTCAGAAGAGACTCTGAAACTTGCTGTTAAACGTCGAGTAGCTAAAGCAAAAGAAAGAAATGATGAAGTAAAAGAGCAGAACAGAATATTTCAAAGGGCAGCTCAAGAAGACAAAGTGAAGAATTATAATGACATATGCAAAGAGCTCGAGATAGAAAACCAAAAGGGAAGAGCATGCTCGGCATTTCTCAAGCTGAAAGAACTGAAGAAAAAATTTAAGCCTCGAGTTGGAATAGTGAAGGATTCTATGGGGAAAATGTTAAACGATACAGGAAGCATCAAAAGAAAATGGAAGGAATACACAGAGTCACTGTACCAAAAAGAATTGGTCGACGTTCAGCTATTTCAGGAGGTCACATGTGATCAGGAACTTATGGTACTGAAGGAAGAAGTCCAAGCTGCACTGAAGGCATTGGCGAAAAACAAGGCTTCAGGAATTGAGGGAGTATCAGTTGAGATGTTTCTACAAACAGATGCAGCGTTGGAAGTGCTCACTCATCTATGCCAAGAAATTTGGAAAACAGCTGCCTGGCCAACTGACTGAAGAGATCCATGTTTATGCCTATTCCCAAGAAAGATGATCCAACCGAATGTGGAAATTATCAAACAATATCATTAATATAACATGCAAGTAAACTTTTGCTGAAGATCATTCAAAAGCAGCTGCAGCAGTATATCAACAGGGAACTGCCAGAAATTCAAGTTGGATTGAGAAGCGGACGTGAACGAGGGGTATCATTGCTGATGTCAGATGGATCTTGGCTGAAAGCAGAGAATACCAGAAAGATGTTTACCTGTGTTTTATTGACTATGCAAAGGCATTCAACTGTGTGGATCATAACAAATTATGGATATCATTGTGAAGAATGAGCACTTAATTGTGCTCATGAGGA